CCATTTGGTCTCACCCAAGATGTCGGCTCTGGGCCTCTAAGCCCAGCCCAGCAGATTCAAAAGTATGCAATTTTTTACTTCAGCTTCAAGTTCCACAATCTATAAGCCTTCAAACTGTTAAAATATTCTTATCTCTGTGTTTCTGAGTTTTGGAGCTCTGCCCTAGATCTGCTCTGCCTGGTATTCTGTGATATTGCTGACAGCGAATTTCACCTTAGCCACCATCAAGCCCCCAAGGGGTAATGGTTTATTGAAATATGTCTAGTCCTGTGGTCCTCAAAGTGTGGTACCTGGACCACCACCACCAGCAGCAGTATCAGCACCTGGGAACATTAAAGACAAATCTTCAGGCCCAATCCCAACCTATTGAATCAGAGGGTGATTGCTTAGTGTCATGTGCCATGGAGTCAGTTCTGACTCATAGCAACCTTGTATCAAGTTTCTGAGGCTATACATTCACACAGGACTAGAAAGACTCATCTTTGTTCCAGGGAAAGAGTAGTAGGTTCCAACAGCTGACCTTGCAGCTAACTGCCCAGTTTGTGATTCACTGCGCTACCAAGGCCCAACAATCTGTGGTTTAATCAGCCCTCCACCTGATTCTGATGCCTGCCAATCCTTTTATCCAACCTACATCCCCAGGAAAAGCAGGGTTAGTCTGGTGCTAGTGGTCCCATCCTTAGGTGCACACTTGGGGAAACTGAGGTATAAAGGTGCTTGGCTGTGTGATAAGGGTTCCCATGAGCCTTGATGTACACAACATAAGTGCTCTGCATTGAAGCATGTATTACCGTGTCAAAGTGCTCCTTCTCATTTTGCAAATGAGGACACTGGAGCCCAGCGAGGGTCAGCCACTGTGCCAGCGTCACACAGTTAGTGTGGGCCACAGCCAGGACTAGAACCTGAGTCCTGTGCTCTTTGTTCCAACTCATCTGCCTCTCATGCCCTTTCCAGAGAGGTCTAGAAGGAAAACGAATTTGATTGGGGGCTGGGAACCAGCTCTAGAAATTATTGTTGTTGTTATGTGCCGTGGAGTCGGTTCCGACTCACAGTGACCTTGCACAGGGTTTCTGAGGCTGCAGATCTTTACGGGAGCAGAAAGCCTCATCTTTCCCATGTGGAACAGCTGGTAGTTTTGAACTGCCAACTTTGAGGTTAGCAGCCCGATTCGTAACCACTATGCTACCAGAGCTCCTTAGAATTATTATTATTAGCTTTCTTAATTCTATACATTCCATTTTTGATTTTTAAAATGCTCTTTCCATCTTTAATTTGGTTTCCATTCCAATTAAGCTCTCTGTGTGCTGTGGCTTCTCTCCTGCCAGGTTTAATTGCCCTTATTTAAATTCTTTAATTAAAAGTATTGTGTGTTTCCAGATCCTGTAGCTGTAAGTATAACACAAATAATTTAGATGGCTGGACTGGTAAACCAAGCAACTGTCCCCTCTAGTAAGGGGGGTGCCGGCCGGGGAGCTCTGTATCAAGTCCCAGCCCCCCCAGAACCATGGGACTGACCAAGAGGCTGCTCTCCAGGCCTTAGGTGTTAGAGCTTGTTGTTGCCAAGTGCTATCGAGTCAGTGTTGACTCATAGCAACCTTGTATATAGTGTCTGAGGAGCAGTTGCTGGCTTTGAATTGCTGACCTTGTGGTTCACAGTCCAGTGCTGATACTACAGCGCCACACCAGGAGTCTGGGTGTTAGGGCAAGAGCCTCGTAACCCCTCTCCCTGCCTGGTTTTTGCCAGGGAAGGGGGCAGAATCCAGGGTTCACAGCCTGACTGATCATATGACACTGGGCAAATCCCCCAACCTCTGTGTCTCAGTCTCCAAATTCTATAAAATGGCAATCACTCCAATCACCAGCTAATAGGGACAATGTAATAAATGCCTGAGATGAGCATGTAAAAGATGGCACAGCACTAGGTATATGGCAAATAAAGTTGTTAGGTCCTCTGGAGTCAGTTCTGACTCATAATGACCCTCTTCAGGGATTTGGAGGAGTGGTTGTTGGGTATAAACGGTTAAGCATTCACTACTCCTAACCAGAAAACTTGGCAGTTCAAATCTACCCAGAAGTGTGTGGGAATTGGGCCTGATGATCTGCTTCTGAAAGTTCACAGCCTTGAAAGGCCTGTAGTACACAGCTCTACTCTGTACACAGTGGGGTCGCCAAGAGTGGGACTCAAGTTCATAGCAACTGGTTTGTGCTGCTTTTCGGTTGTTACTATTTTTGTCCCCAGTACAGAACCTGCAGGTAGATGTACCAGTAGTTGATAACACCAGGCTTCTCACTGCCAAGGGGCAGAGCTCACCAGGAAGGGACTGTCTGGGTGATGAACAGCTTCTTACAACCATGGGGAATTGAGTCTACTCCAGGAAAGAGAGTTTCCAGTCTGTCCAGTGAGGGTGCCGGGGTCTGAGAAGGAAGATAAGAGGGGAGAGTGCAAATGGCCCATGCTAGTCCATCCCCCAGATGTGCCCCAAGGAACATGCAGGCACTGCTTAGCAAAGTCCCAAGGTGGCCTTAGTGCCCTACTCTGTAAGATCTCTCCTCTGAGCATCCAGAGAGGGTGCTTGCTTCGGCCTCATGCTCCACCCTCCCAGGCACACCCAGTTACTCTCACTGAGCCATCCTCCCCCTGCCAAACCCACTCTTGGTTCATTCTATCTCCCCAGGAGGCCACATGGGCTGTTTCTGGCACAAGGTCACCACATTTCCTGTTTCTAGGGTGCTGAGGGCATAGCTAGGCCAGGGAAGGGCCTGAGAAATGTCAGATTTGAATCTCTGAAGACTTTATTTCTCAGAGTCCTCCATTCCCACCTCCCTCTCTCAGCCCTTGGCAAGGTGCCCAGAGTTGGGTGGGGAGAACATATCAGGCTTAGAATGTCCCTTTGTCTAGTGGGAAAGGAGGAGGTTGCCACCACCTCGAAGTTTCTCTAAGCTTCCAGGGTCTGTGAAGCAGTCTGCTGTTGGCATGAGGATATGGTACCCAACATATCCTGGCCCATGAATATCTGCTGGGCCATCTGAGTCTTCAGGGCAGTGGATGGGGTTCTTGATCTGGCCCTACTTTCTGTTTGCCATGACTTTTTTTTCCATAAAGTCCCCATCTTAATTCCAAATCCTGCTGCCCCATATCCATTTGCCACCCTCCTCCTCCTCAGCCTCCTCGTAATCAGAACAGAAGTCATCAATTGGCCCTACAGACAATGAAACTGGAAGCATGGAGAAGCTTTCTCATGGCCACACCACTGATACCCAGGAATGAAGCCAGATCTTCAGAGTCCACTTTGGTGGACTTCCCTGTAGCCATGACTGCCTGAAATGCCAGCAAACCAAACCAACTCATGGCAACCCCACGTGGTGCCAAGTAGACCTGTGCTCTACAGGGTTTTTCATTATTGTGACCCTTCAGAAGCAGAATGCCAGGGCTTCCTGCTGAGGCAGCTCTACGTGAGTTCAAACCTCCAACACTTCAGTTAGTAGCTTGGCACTTAACCATTTGCACCCCCCAAAGATTCCTGGAAGTCCTTGTAAATTAGAAACTGGCTGATTTCACACCCACCCTGCCTGAGCTCTGCTCCCAAGGATGTGGGGTAGGACATCCTGCCCAGCTGGCAGGCCAGCTGGAGCAGGTGGGAGAAGCTGGCTGCCAGCTCCCTAAAGAAGTACCAGGGACATGATCTGGTCTGGGTGTGGGTGACAAATGTGCACAGGCTTGAAGGCTACAAGGATTTACACAGCTTTAGAAATCCAGGTGGGCTGATTTGGAACAAGTGTCACAAGGGATGCCTATGCATCCAAAAGTTCAACTTTTGAGGAACAGGATGGGAGCCCAAAGTGCATGGCAGCATCTGAGAAGACAACTTGAGACTGTCCTCCAAAGTCATTCTAGAGGAGCTCAGGAGCATGGTGTGGCCACCAAAGCACAGGCTTGTTGTCCCATGTATATGAGTGATGACCCTCTGCTCTGTGGTCAGTTCTGAGTGGCACAGAACAACAAGCAACTAGGATGGCAATAGGACACAGAATTGTCTCTAGAGGAGTAGTAAAAACTGGGCATTGTCATCCGGAAAAGCATGAACCTGGGGGGGGGACATGGCCATCACATTACCCAATTGGAGGAGAAGTAAGAGCAGACCTGAGTGTGGAAGCTCAAGGGGAAAGTCTAGGACCCCTTGTAGATGCCCCTGAGACAAGGAATGTCAATGGGAAGAAAACATCCCCAAAGTGCCTGACATTCTTTTGCTATCATTATGTTCATGAGATTTGTCCTTCAGTGTAACTCTAGTTTGTTTGTTTTCATTCCTGTATAGTATCCCATGATATGAATAATGAATATATAAGCTATTTATTCATTCATTATGTTGACAGAGGTTTGGGTACTCTGTGTTAGAGCTTTTACAAATAATGTCAAACAGAATTCAAGTTTATGTTTTTAGTGTACCAGTGTACACATTTCACCTAAGAGTGGAATGGTTGACTCAGAGTTATACACTTCAACTTTAGCAGATATTGCTAGTTTTCTATGTATTCTATGTAGTTATGAGAAATGGGCTTATGGTTATCATCAGTCCTGTCCTGAACCAAATCCAGGCTCCTGGGCAATCAGTTGGGCCACTGATTGAAACCTTAGGCCTCTCAAGATGTTCACATTCAGGTTGATCATGGAAAAAGGCTTCTCAGAGCATGGTCCTAGCCAGTGGTTTAGGGGAACAGGGTAGGAGCTATAAAAAGCAAACCAGCACATCATACTCTAGCCAGGTAGAAGTCTTCGACCTAGCAAAGAACTGGTGTACTGTGAGACCACTGAAATAGATGTTGAGGTTCAGTCTTACAAAGGAGACCAGCACCTCAGAGCCAAGGGAGCCAGAACTTTAATGGGTGTATCCTTGTCTCACTGTGTCCACAGCCTGACAAGTCACTAGGCCTGAGGCCCCTTAAACCATCTCCGTCTTGTCTCTACCCCCTCTGATCCTGTCCTCTCTCCTGGCTCCTAGGGAGGCCCCATTCAGAACCGAAAGTCCAAGCGCTGTCTGGAGCTGCAGGAGAACAGCGACATGGAGTTTGGTTTCCAGCTGGTGCTACAGAAGTGCTCGGGCCAGCACTGGAGTATCACCAACGTCCTGCGGAGCCTGGCGTCCTGACCCTGCTAGGGAGTTGCCTCCTGCCCACCCCTTTGCTACTGTGTAGCACCTGCTGCAATGCTGCCTGCTGTCCATGTGGGGTTGTCTGGAGTCTGGGGGAGCCAGATCATTGGGCCCCTAAAAGAGCTTTTTATTTCCTATTCAATTTTCCTGAAGTTTATAGAAAGATGCTGAATGGTGGGTGAGGGGTCATATCAAACTATTTTGCAATTGTAAATAGGGGACAAGTGGAATCTATTTATAACTGACAATAAAATACTATTGATTAAGAAATGGGTTTCTGGGGTCATTTAGTCTCTGTGGAGATTCACACCTGGTTCCCCACTGACTTTGGTGTTCTCAAAGCCAAACATGTGTCCCTGTTTGTCCTTCCCACTTCACAGCCTTGAGGAAGGCTTCTACACCCCTGCTCACAGTGGGAGCTTATTGCCCCAGCTGCCCACTGACTTTGTGAGGCCCACGGCCAGTCCCTGCCTCCAAGGGAAGGCTTTCACTTTGCAAGGCAGCTGGGATGCTTCACTCCTGAAGATAAACGAGGGTGAGTGCTACAAAATCATGGAAGCCCTAGCTAAACAAAAATATCAAAATGTGAAGCTATTGTTTCCCAATACATCTCTCCTTCATCGAGATCCACACACCTCTGAAGCAATGTCTCTGTCACTCACACCTGCCACCAAAGAGTCCTGTGCTTTTTCAATTTACATCAAAACGACAGTTTTGGCTTCCTCAGGGGACTCAAATCTTGTTCCTTTTAAATGTTCTTTGAATTTGGGAATAAAGAGAAGTCGGAAGGGACAAAATCAGGGTTGTAGTGGATGGTGAAAGATTTCCCAGTGAAATGTTCTTAGCACAGTCCTTGCCACCCTGGAAAGGTGGGCAGGTGCCTTGTCATGCAGGAAGAAAGAATTCCTCCAGCAACTTGCCTGACCTTTTCCTCACCAGGGCAGTTTTCAGTTTCTTAAAACTTCTTTATAATAAGCCCCTGTGATCATCCTGTCTCCTTTGAGAAGATTATCCCTTGAGAATCCCAGAAAACAGTTGTCATAACCACCTGAGCTGAATGACCTTTCTGCCTTGAATTTAATGGGCCCAGTAGATCCCCTCAGAAGCCACTGTCTAGATTGGACCACTCTTTTGAAGTCACCTTAAAGAGACTAAGACATATGCATTACTGAGAAAACATGCCTGCAGCCATCCACCACTGATGAGAGACATGTTTAAATATAATTTGTTTGCAATGGACCCATGTATGTATGAACTGAAACCCTAGTAGCAATACTTTTTGACTTAACTTTTGTAAGGACTGCTCACTAGGCGCTGAAACTGCACTGGCTGTGCTTCAAGCTACACTGTCCTCCCCCTGAAGTCTGTAGGTCACTCCCTTACCTCCCCAAACAAGCAGTGACACTCACCACAGCAAATGTCCAGTCCATTGCCAAGGATGGTTGGGTTCCTCTGATGAATCCAAGCTCTTGTCCAGTTTGAGCTCCAAGTCAACCCCTGTGGACACAGCCCCATGAGGTCATGGCCAACAGACTGGGATCATCTTTCTTTGAACTTGTTCCCACCCTCTGTCCCTCCAATAACTTCTGGCAGAAAGTTTCATTCCCTGTTTCATTGCTTGGGGCTGCTGTTGTCAGTTTGAGCCCATTCCCACCTGCAACCCTTCCTCAGCTCTCTCGCTCACTTGCAGCTAAGCAAAAAATACTGACAAGCTCTAACTGGTTAGAAGTAACCCTTTCTGGACAGGTTTCAGCCCCACTCACCTTCAGTTCTTTGGGACCTCCTTTCCAGGGGCCTCCAGTCTAGTCATGGGCTTACTTGGGCTCAACAACTTAAAGTTGAAAATCTGAAGACTCTAGGAAACCCTCTCTACACTGTGAGACCACGAGGGGGACAGGACCTGCCACCTTGCACATCAAGAACCCCATTCAGTACCCTGGAGGGACTCCCAGGGGCTTCCCAGGCCACCATCAGAGGCCACCTTTTAGATTTTCCTTGACTTTCCAACAAGTCAACAGACTCCCTGCCTCTAAAGGATGCCCCCATATAGTTGCCAGGTGGGTCACATGACCAGGGAGGTGGACACAGGGAGCCGAAGCTCCCAGATAGAAAGCGGCCCCCAGAGGTGTAAGCACTGCCTTTCCCATGCCCTGGAAGCCAGGACTCTTACACCCTCCCCCATGGTTACTTCCCTTCTCAAGTACATGGCACTCATTTCCAGACTCACTCAATTCACATGTGCTTACAGCTGTACTACCAGCTGATACTTGTAAATGTAGCCTACTGTTCAATGCACTCTCCTCACCTGTTTCTTCACCTCTCAACCATCAATTCCATTCTTCATAATCACGCATATAGAATGACCTACACTGGTGGTGCCTCCCACGGTGGTCTCAAACCAGCAGTAATCACAGTATTACTGGGGAGTTCGTTAGAAATACAAATTTTCAAACCAGCCCTCTCCATACCACCTGAATCAGATATTCTGGGATTGAGGCCCAATGGTTCATGCTTCAGCCAGCCTCTGGGTGATTCTGATGCCTGATAAAGCTTGAGAACGACTGCCCAGCACCAACCTCAAACAGTTTACAGCAGTCCTCACTACTGCAATGGCTTCAGCCTCCCTCTCCAACTGCATCCATTCATACTGCTCTACTTATTCACAACCACCTCTGCCTAGTGCAGGTCGACTCCAGAATGCCCCATGCATCTACCCACCTACACTCACGCTATATCCCTAGTGTAGAGTGGAAAGACTAAGAGTGTAGACCTGAGCCGAGTTCAAATCCCAGTCCTTCCACGTACTACTTAAATGTTCTTGGGCAGTAACTTGACCTCTTTGTGTCTCAGTCTATATTTTATGGAGTTATTGTGAAAATTAAATGAGTACATTTATGCAAAACAGCAATGGGTACATAGTGAGTGCTAGAAAGTTTTCCTGTTGGTATTTCATTCATTGACACCCATTTGCCGTCACCAGGACTTCACCATACCTTCACACTGATCCACATGCATATTTTTGTCATGTCTGTTAACATCCATATTCCAGTCCATCTGTACTAACACCCATTTGTGTTTGTAGCCACCTGCCTGGAGGCATTTGTTTTTATGATCTTTGCTACCTACACCCAAATCACTACAAACTCTACCCTCCTATCAAATACAGTCCATAACCACTCACTTCAACATCCACAGAAAACACTGCCTCCCATAAGTTAACCAGGAACTGTTAAAACAGCACCAGAGAGCAACTCCCTCCTGGGACATCCACTCACCATCTCCCTCAGCCCTGATGCCCAGGCCCTGGAGCACTACCTCCCATAAGTTTACCAGGAACTGTTAAAACAGCACCAGAGAGCAACTCCCTCCTGGGACATCCACTCACCATCTCCCTCAGCCCTGATGCCCAGGCCCTGGAAGTAGAAGAGGCTCTGAGATAGCCCTAGAGGCCCCTGACCTCCTGAGAGAGGAAGCCATGTGAGCAATCCAGGTACAAAAGGCAGGAGGTCTGAGGCCCTGGGTCTTCAGAGCAGAGGGGATGGGTGAGTGTAGAATAAAGGGAGAGGGTCCAGAGCATGAAGGAAGGAGGATAAAGTTGCCCCCCGTCCACAACCAGTTTCATTCCCATCACAACCTCATCTGGCTGTTTTTCCCAGGTTGCTGCAAGCTAATTAGCAGCTGGTTAGGGGCTCTCTGAACACCCAGAGTGAGCTCATTATTTTGCTTAATGATTTGCACATTTAACAACTTTTCACTGATACTAGAAGACTCCTATAACCCATCAAGAGGCCTCCTGGACAGTCAACCAATCCTACTGCCTGGCCCCCAACCCAGTTCCACAACTCAACCCCCAGCCCTCACCCAGTCCCTCCCATGGCCCCATCTGTCCTGAGCAATGAAAGAAAAAGATGTGCTCTTTTTCTTTCCCAGTGGAAAATGGATACAATTGTTGACACTACAAAGGCAGAAGCCAGCAGTGCCTTGGCCACATCCCAGCCTGCTCTGCTATTGTTGTTATTAAGTGCTGTCGAGTTGGTTCCATCTCACAGTGACTCTGTATAGGGTTTTCGAGGAGCAGCTGATGGGTTTGAACTGCCAACCTTGTTAGCAGTCTAGTGATTATCTGATAGTCACACCAGGCTGCTCTGTAGGTCACTGCCAAGAACTCCAGCACATTCCTACAGCATCTACTGCTTCCTGCCTCTCTGCCCAAAGCCCTGCTCTGACCTGGCTGTGGGCATGTGCTTGGGCCTATGTACAAAAACGGGCTGAAAGTACAAAGTGTTCAGACTTCAGGAGTAAGTTTCAACCCTCCAGGGTGGGCTCATCATCTTTCTGTAGAACAACTGGAGGTTATTATGTATGATGTCCCAGCCTCTCAGAGGTTTCCCAGTGAGACTAGACCCCACTTGCCCACCTTAAGGTACCCTTTACTGGCCTTGTCTTCCTCTCTGCTCTGTCTCATCTTCCCACTATCCCTGCCAACTCCAAGGCACACCACCACCACCACCAGTTGCCTGTATTAGAAAAGATGCCAACATACTGGTTTCCACAGGTCAGAGTAGCAGACTGGATGAGGAGGGGTAAAGAACATGTAGTATATACTGTATATTTGGTCTTCCCACCCTGACCCTCTCACCTGACTCCACTTTTCTGGGGCTGAGCCCCGTGGTTGTGCTCTGGAACCTCTTATTGGCCGGGGTGCTATCCTCAATGACAAATCATGCCTCATGATCGTTACAGAAGCCACACAGACCCTCTAGCCACACTTGTGGCTTCGGCCCTTATAGTTGCCCCAGCTCTCTGCTCTTGGACTCTGTCTTACTCCCCATACCGATAAGGGAAAGGGCTAAAGTCCCAGCATGTGTTGGTCAAAGTTGGTGTCTAGGAAAGAAAGATCCTAAATAGAACAACGAACACTTAACAATTGCTTCTTTGGCCAGGCATTGAGGTGAGTACTTGCCATTTACGTCACTCATTTTAATATTCCTTATGAAGCCTCACTCTTATTATCACTCCCAGTTTACAGCAAACATAACTGAATCCCAGAGAAGCCAAATCATTTCACAAAGAAATAGAACTAACAAGAGGCAAAGGTTGGGTTTGAATACAGAGAGGCTGACTCTAGAGTCTGTCTGCAGACTCCACTGCACTCTTAGAAACATGCATTCTGCCCCTCTCTTAGAAACTCCTCAGGAGACTTGTGCTCCAAGTTTCCAATGATACGAGAGTGCTCTCTCTGGACCAAAGAAACAATCACTACAAACACCTGTA